CTCTCAGCGATGGGATATGAATCAGTCTCTCCTTCGGCAATGGGATATCCTTCGGCAATTGGATACGATCTCTCAGCGATGGGATATGAATCAGTCTCTCCTTCGGCAATGGGATATCCTTCGGCAATTGGATACGATCTCTCAGCTATGGGATATGAATCGGTCTCTCCTTCGGCAATGGGATATCCTTCAGCAATTGGATATGACCTCTCAGCAATAGGATATGAATCGGTCTCTCCTTCGGCAATAGGATATCCTTCAGCAATTGGATACGATCTCTCAGCTATAGGATATGAATCGGTTTCCCCTTCGGCAATAGGATATCCTTCAGCAATTGGATACGACCTCTTAGCAATAGGATATGAATCGGTCTCTCCTTCAGCAATCGGATAAGACCTCTCAGCATTAGGATATGACTTCTTTGCAACGGGAACGGCGTTGATAACGGAAGACGTTACCAATAAAATGGTCGTAAATATTGAGATTCGAACCATTGTTTTTTATTTTTTATGAGTTGGAAAATGAAGGTAATTAATTTTGGTTTTCTAATTTTCAAAGGTTTAATAACTCGGCTCCAGTTGGCATCTTTTTATAAGAAGGTAGATTCACATTCAGATCATATAATTTGTAGATTAGAAAATCGCTTTCTAGAATGAAAATTATTACTCATACAAAATTTGTAATTTTTATTACAATCCTTATGAATTTTACGTATTATAACTTTTCTACTTTAGCAAATGACTTTCGGGTAGTCATTAATGTTGCAATGATGCATTATGAAGTTTAAAGTTTATGGGCTTGATTGCGTTATAATGGAAGGAGCGATCCTGGCGTGTGTTCTTCAATAACCTCCACCTCGCATGTGTTCAAAAAAAAAATAGACAGTTTTAAGGCCGGAGATTAGAAGAGTTGAAATTAAAGTCACTACCATTATTATGTGAACAATAAATTTATTGTAGTTCATCTTTTTACCATCCTGCAGCTTTGATAATTCTCGATTTCTAGATTAACATGTGTAGTATTTCAAAAAATCGGCACACAATTTCTAAACTTATCTGTACTCAAAATTGGCCTCGGAATTACTTTAAATGAATCTCGTTCATTTTCTTTTTGGTATCGGCATAAGTGCCATCATATAGTTTTTCACATGGTTACTAGCCACTTCCCAAAGAGGACATGGTGGCTCAATCCCACTTTCGGTCGATCTGCGCTAATGTCTATCGTTACATTTAATACTTCAGCCTCCTTGCCACTTTTGGCTCTCTATAGTTTTAAAGCTTTTAACAGAGATTTAAAAGAATGACTGGTATCTATTTTCACAAAATACTGCATATAGACCGACAACGCTTTGTGGCAAATTATCATAATTCTCAACTGCAATGTACCCAAAGTGTTCACTGTCTGGAATTTGGTAAAGGTAAGGTTCAGCATTATAAGTCTCGCATCCGTGACATATAGCTCCGAACACGTTTGTTATCTTTATCAAGATTCCATACATTGGTTCGTACCATTTATTACTATTTATCTGAAAACATCTTTCATAATTTTTTTAAGTACTTCCTCTATATAGTGGGAATAAAAAATTTCACAAATATATTTAATTATAATTTTACAAATATTTTTTAAAATTAAATAAAAATTATATACAGTGTGATAAAAATTTTTAAAATTTTATTTACATGGCATAAATGTAAATAGCTTTTTCAAAAATAGCAATTTACATGAAATTATAAATATATAATTTTTTTTTTAACCTTCTATCAGGTTAGTCATATATACTTTATTAAACAATTTGTAAACTATACATATATTATATATTATTAAAGCTAAAACTCTAACTTACTCACTTGTCTTAGTTAATCTAACTCTAAATACAACTTTAGAAGTAAATTAGTAGTTCAAATAAAAAATTTTTCAACTATTAATTTTATTGTTTGCAAGTTATTATTGCAATATTATAATATATAAAAAATTTTTTTAACTTTTTATTAGATTAGTTATATATATTTTATTAAATATAATATGAATCACTAAAGCTAAAAATGCTAACTAGCTCACTTGTCTTTGTAATTACTACTCTAAGTACAACTTTGGAAGTGATTTATTGTTCCATTAAGAGTTCAGGTGAAAATCCTTCCAACTCTTAATATTATTGCCTGCAGATCACTACTGCAAATCATTCTTTAAGTTCTAACATTACTTAAAACCCAACCATCTCATCCCAAATCTAACTTCTCTTGATAAGATATCTTTTAGATTTTTATCTTCTAATCTTCCTTCCTCCAATATCAGAGTTTTCCTTTCCAGTCATATGGTTTTGATACCTGGGAGATTATGTGTCTTTTTATCTTATTCTTCTTTTAGATTCCTTGCAATCTTTCTTATTCTATCATCTTTTTATATCTTGTATTTCAAACCTTCTTCCAGAACTGATTACAAATCATACCTTGCAGTTTCTTGATCCATTTTCTTGCTTCTTTTCTGATTCTTTTACCATGGTATTTAAGATCTACCTTCTCGAGAATGAGTTTGTGTTTTATTAATTCTGCAAAAAAACTTAATATATCCTGACTAGTTGCTGAAAACTATTTCACTAGCCTGGAAGTCCATTTGTCTACTTTATTCATTTCTTTACTATTATTCACTATCAATCTGATATTCTTCTTTTCTACTTCCTTTTTCCTTTTCTGTATAAGTTTTCTGAAATTCGTCAGAACCCCTTTGAGATCTTTATTCCATATTTTCTTTATCTGTCCCTTATATGCTAGACATTCTAACAAGTGATTAATTGTTTCTTCCTCCTAAAGATCACATGCAATACATTTCACTTGCTTGTATAGGTCTGGTCTTCTTATTGTCAATTTACTTAGTGTTGGTAGCTCATCATTTATTAACTTGATCAAAAAGCTCTTTCTTTGACAATCTTTGAAAGATGTATCCCATGTATGGCTATTCATTCTTTTTTATACTAGATTCTATGTATGGCCTTGTTATTCTTGAATTTGATGGCTCCATTTTTTTTTATTCTATTTTGTAATGTCCACTAATATGCTATAATCTTATTATTTATTTTCTTGATAAATTATCTTATGGAATTATTTAAAGTTTTGTTCTGCCACTTGATTTCTGTAGGGATTTTATATGAGATGAGATTTTTCCATTCTATTACTGGAAGTTTAAAAGCATCTTTAGCGAAGGTATCTGTTTCATTATTATAGGGATCTCAAGAATATGTCTTGACCTTAATAAGTTTCAGATCTAGATCTTTTTTATTGATCAGCTCTACTATTCATACTTATAGTAACCAGTTTTTATCCTTTAACCATCTTTTATATATTCTTTTTGAATCATCTTTCTCAACTATTTTTTACTTTAAGATATAGGCTTGACTATCTGTAGAAATTTCAATTGAGCTACCTACTGGAATTACTAGGAGTATTGTGACTATTGCCATTAGTTCTGCACATGTAAATGAGGGCCAACTGTCTACCTGTTTAAAATCTACTTTCTTTTTCTATATTGCTTATTTGGATCCATGCTGCTCCCATCTTTATATTGTCACTGCCATGATTTATTAGTGATCCATCTGAATAGAAGGTTAACTTTTGTTTGGATCCTAGATTATGCTAGAGTATCTCTATTAGGTAATCTTAATATACTTCTTCTTTAATATTCTCTTTAATAATCATTTCTTTCTAACTTTCTATATTTATGTAATTCATTTTGATATCTTGGAAGTAGACTGCTGGATTGGCTCTGCAATCTCTATACAACTACTTGATTGCTATTTATTATTTTTTTAATTATCCCTTCCAAAGATATTATAGGGTATGGGATTGTTAGCATCTGGGCTCTTCTGGTACTTTTTCTTGTATTAAGATATGGTATCATATATATCTTTTTCATATCTTTCTTTATGATGCAACTCTGTTATTGAATAAAATCTTTCAAGCAATCCATGCATTTAATTAGCTTTGTTTTTTGACCATTTTCACTATTCTGACACTTATAGTGTTTGATCTTTACTTTTCTCTTAGGTTCTTCTTGTAATAGCTTTTCCCATATTAGTTAATAATTGGTATTCTTTTTAATTATCCATATTTTTTGTCTTTTGTCATGGTTAGAGCTGACTATAGAATATGTTGGCTTCCATTTTAATCAATTTATTTTTGATATATTTATAAGTTGATTTAAATGATCTTTTGGGAACATTCTACTTATGTTTAAGAACTATTTTGAAATAGGACCTTTATCAGTTTTTTGGATGAGTTGAAACATATGCCAATTTCTCACTTCATTTGTTTCATAGTCGATGAGCTGATCTATATATATCAATCTATTGTTTCTTAGTAATAGTATGGCTTTAATATACTTTTCAGGTGAGAAATATTCTTGAATCAGACTATTTTCCTTTTCTTATTCAAAGATATCATGTCATTTTCAACTTTGAAAAGTAATTTCCATATTTTTAGCTAACTTAATTACTGTACTTAAAATGAAAAGTTGTCTTTGTCTATAAGATGATATAGTGAGTCACAAGTCAGCAGGTTGAGTAGCTCCCAATATTTGATTTATGCTTGTTTGAGCCTTATGATTGTTGTGATTCCTGCTGGTTCAAGATTATTCAATCTATTGCACAATCCTATTATCCAACTTTCTTTTTGTAGCATCCAGATGCTTTTCAAATTATGGATCTTTGGATGATATATTATACTGTTGGGAGTAGATCTGCATAATAAACTTTTGTATTTGAAGAGTTTTCTATATGCTGTTGTTAGCGTATTGCATATTTTCCAGGCTAAATTCTATTCTTAATATTAATATCCTATTTAAAATATAGAGTGTCTGCTTATCCATCACCTTTTTATTTTTGAAAGTTCTAATAATTAAATGAATTTCTTTGAGCACTCTTTTCTTTAATTCGATCGAGATCTTTTGGTTGCCCATCTAAATTTTCAGAAATCTTACTAGATCTGCTCTGTCAAGTTCTTTAATTACTTCTTTTTTAATGCCTACCTGGATTTCTTCTAAATAACAGTTAGAATTGTTAATAAAGTAATTTATTTTAAATCATAAATCTAAACCAACTGTCAATATATAAATTTTATTTGTTTTGTTATAGTATTTTAAAATTTTATCCTGATATATTTTTGCTGCTTCTTTAAAATTCAAATTAATCCTATTATTATTAATGGTATCTTTCAAATGGTAAATTAAAATATTATATAATGAAATTGTAATAGAAAATATTGGATATGTTAATATTAATATATATATATATTTTTTTTTAAAGGTGAAACAGTCCTACTTTATTAGTATAGTATCGAAACATATTACTTGATTCAGTAAAGTGATTTTATAGACTCATTTTCTATATGCTCTATGTTACTATATTACTAAAAAGCTAATTGGTTGATAAAGAACCCCTTATAACATGTTGCTTCTGTTACAAAAAACTAACATGCCTAGGTTTCATTAGTGCCTTCCATTAGAA